TTGTCCTTCCTCCTCACATCTTGACAGAAGGGGAGTTTGGATTGGGTTTTAAAGAATAGCTTCTAAAGAAAGTAATAAAAAAAGTTATTTTGAGAATAAATTTTAAAAATAATAGATTTTTTGAAAAATAATCTGGATAAAATGAGAATGTTTGGATAGTTGTTATTAGAATAATTTTTTTATGTGTAAATTAATGTAAGAATTACATAAAGGAGAAATTTATATTTATATTTTTGTTTAAAGTAATAAATTAATAAATAATATATTTTTTGCCACCATAATAAATAAAGCATAAAAATATAATTAGTTAATAATTAATAGGGTGGAGGTAGCATTTTTTTTTTTTTTGCTATGATTCAGTATTCTTAAGTAATTTGTGGTATATCTAACATTCTGAAATAATTTTTAATGTAAATCCAGTACCTTAAGGTGCTTTTTAATGCAATTTTAAGCAATTTAGGTGTTAAATGTATCAAAGAAATAATTTAAGATGCTAGAAGTACATGAACAGAATACATCAAGGTGTTGGGTGGACCAAAATATAATTGATATGTGTATCCATATTTATAAAATGTAAAATTAAATATATTTTTAGGAAAATAATAATTCCGTCTAAATGAAAGTCATGAGTTTCCATCCCAAAAACGCGCACAATTCACTTTTGAAAAACCATGATTTTCTATCCAAAAACCATGATTTTGAATTAAAAAGTGATTCTGCCAAAAAAAAATCATACGTTTGGATGGTAGGATTCCCCAACCATGATTTTATATCTCAAACTATGGTTTGACCTTCACTTGTCAATAACTTTATCCTGACAAACCTATGTTTTACATGCATTTTCATATCTTTTTGGTGGGCTTTTGTCATTATTATTGGTCTTTAATTGTATTATTTGAGTATAATTCATATTAGAGTGCTTTTACCTTGAGTGGCATCAGAGCTAAGGTTTGCTAGATTTCAAGTTCTATCTTTTTGGTGTTTTAATTTTTTTCTTTCTCTATTGCTTCCATTTTCCTTTCGTTTCCATTCTTCTCATTTTGTCTTCCTCCTTTCTTCATTATTTCCATCCTTTTTTTTTTGTTTTTTTCTTCCTTTTCATCTCCTTCCCACCCTTTTTTTTGTTCATTTACTTGCTTTGTTCTTTTGAGTAACATAGAAAAAAAAACAAAAAAATTCAAAAAAAAAGGAAAAAAAAAAGAGTGATGTTGTGTTGAAACAACCAAAAAAAAGAAGAAAAAAAAAGGCTGCAGAATTGCTGGAAAAAATAAATTCAAAAAAAAAAAGAGAAAGAGTTTCAGATTTTGGAGATTGCAGTATAAGAGGCAAGTTTTCTAATTTGAAAGAGCTTCTATTGCAAGTCACAATTAATTTCCTAAATCTTTATGCTTGGGTGGTAAGACTCCTACTTTCCTATTTCTACTTTCTTTTGTTTTATCTAGTTTCCTATTTTGAATTCCTTTCCTTTTCATGCTACTTTCCTATTTCCTTTCTTCAAGTTTTCTTCTTTCTTTTGTTTCATATTCCTTTTCCTTCCTTTTCATGCTACTTGCCTAATTTCAATTCTTTTCTTACAAGGTACTCACTTTCCTAAAGTTCTCTCAAGGTAGTATCTTTTCTAATTACTTTGTTTCCTATTTTTCTTTACTTTCACAATCTTATTTTCATTTTGTACTTCCTGCCTCCTTTTCCACCTTTTTTTTTAAATCCATTTTTTCCATCATAAACTTCTTCTCTCCTCACTTTTTTTTTTTACCTCCTTTCGTTCCATCCTCACTTTTCCTAGTTGCTGTCTCTTACAATTTCTGGTTGTGAAGGTTACTACTTTCTAATATTGTCTCTTGGTTTTTATTGAGTTTCAATCAAGAATACTATAGGAGGCAAGCTTGAGTGGTAAAAGGCAAGAGTGTTTTACTTCAATATAAAAGGCAAAGTTGAGAGAAACACGAGTGGCACCAAATTGATTGAGTGAAACACGCAAGCAGAGTGGTGAGGTCCTTTATTTCTATTTCTTTTCCTCTTGCTTCCACTAACATCTTAGGTTAAAGATGAGTGGGAAAGAATCCAACAATGAAGAATTCAACACAGATATCAAAGTATTCATGAGGCCCATGAGAGATGAGTTTCTCAAACTCAAGATGGAAATAGAAGAGTTAAAGATATCCAAAGTAGGTAGTAGTGATAAGGAAGTGATTAGATCTAGTTCGTCATCTTCAAAGAGTAGGAGCAAACATTCCAAAAATGATGTGGTCATAACTGATCCAAAGATCAAGTATCCTACTTTCAAGGGTAATACCAATTCAAATAAATATCTTGATTGGGAGATGAAGTTTGAGCAGATTTTCAAATTGAATATTTGGCCTAAAGAAAAGAAGGTAAAATTAGCTTTATTTCAGTTTTCTGGCTATGCTACTATTTGGTGGGAAGATTTATAGCTTAAGAGGCTCCTTAAGGGCAAAGGTCCTCCTCGTACATGGGAGAAGCTAATAAAACTCATGCGTAAGAAGTATGTTCCTAGTTTCTACTATCGAGAGCTTAATAGAAAGTTGTGATTGTTTAGCCAAGACTCTATGACAGTAGAGGAGTATGTACATGAGCTTGACCTTCTTAAGATACATGTTGGAGTACAAGAAGATGAAGAATCAAGTATGAGCAGAATTATTGACGGTCTGAGACCCGAAATTAGAGACAAAGTTGAGATGTACACTTTTGTTGATAAGGAGGAGTTGGTGCACAAAGCCATCAAAGCTGAGAAACAGTTTAAAGAGAAACACTCCAAATCCTCATCCTATGGCTGGAGGGACTCTAAATCAACCCCCAAGTGGAAGGATTCCAAGGCTAAAGATGTAGCAAGATTCACCGTTAAAGCCAAGAAGGAATCAAAGCCCAAGGGTGATGGTGTCACATCCAGCATTATGATAATTAGAAACAAAAAATGTTCTCAAATTGTTGAGGATTAAAAATTAATAGGGAGAATTTTGGTGGAAAATAATTACAGTAGTTTTCCAAGCCCATCATAGAAATTTGACTAATTAAGGAAAATTGGTCAAAATTTAAATAATGAAAAATATTTCCAAGCCTTGAAAAATTAAGGAAAATTGAGGATAATATCCTTTGAGAGTTATATAAAATTATAAAGTTAGTTTTATGACCAAATTACCCTTAGAGAAATTATAAGAGAATTTAAGGGTGATTTAGGCTAATTAAGGGATTTTATTTGGAAAATTCCAAATAAATATTTTTAAGGGGAATAAAATTCTGAGAAAATTTCTATGAGATCCCAAGAAATTATAAGGAATTATAAAATTAAATGAAGACCTTCAAGTATCCAAGATTTTTCCAAATAATGATGAAAAGTGGAAAAATCCCTAAAAGAAGGAAATTAATTTTCCTTTTTAATTAATTATTAGGAAATTGATTTTGAGGCAAAGAGGGCAATTAGGGAAGATAAAAATGAGGAGATTAAATTAAGGATCTGACAAAAAATAATTGCAGAAGCTAGGTTACTGTAATTATGGAAAAGAAGTTAAACTCAGAGCCTAAGGTATACTGATAAAGCAAGATTGGTGTCTTGCAAATCAAAGGGATCATATTGAGCCATGTGTCAAGCTCTTGAAGGAGAAGATTTGAATTTGCCAAGTGTCATTCCTCAAATGGAGAGGATCTTGACTTTAGTAATTAATTTCATTTGGAATTTTGTTAATTATGAAAGAAGGATCAAGATTTAGTAGGGTAATGACACTTGGACTATCATTAAAGAAGGTGGTTGAGATATTTTGGGACCATTAATCAAGCTCTTCTCTCCCCTATTTTCAGATGGGAGTTCGGCCAAGGGAGAAAATAAGAGAAAAAGAGAGAGCTTGAGAGAAAAACAAGAAGAAGCAAGCACCTTTGGTCATACAAGCAAGGATCTAAGGTGAGTTCATGATTCTAGATATGTCTTGCTTTCTTTTCTTCCCTTTTTATGGTTGAAAAATCTGTCCCCTCCCTCTTTTTGTGGCTGGCTGAACTGATTAATAAAAAGGGGAAAGGAGTTTTGCTCATTACACTTATTAAGACATACAACACAAGCTAGATCCTAGTGTTTGCAAGTGACTATAGGTTGTTTTAAAGCATTTTTCATGGTTGTTTTCTTGAGCGATCTTTTCGGCCAAGTGAAGAACTGAACCCTAGGAGGAGTTTTTCAATGTTTTAAGGCTTCCATGATGCTTAAAATGAGGAATGGTGTAGGGTAAACTAAAAGGAACAAGTGTTGGAAGCTTAAAAGCAAAGTTGTGATTTTTGGTTTAAAACCTCTAGTGGTTCGGTCAGGTTGTGGCTGGAAGAAGTAATTTTATTTTCATAAATCTAAGTCCATTTTTGGAATCTACATGAAAATCCATGTAGGAACAAGTCAAGAAGTGATTTTTAGGGTTAAAGAGAACCAAGTTTAAAAATAGTGAACAAAGGAGGAAGCTTTATAGTTCAAGAATCATTTTGATTTATGTTCTTGCTTTTTCATGGTTGAATAATGATTCTTGCTGCCCTTTTTGATGGATTGCATTGTTAGGGTTTGATATTTGTAAAGGAAAAGAGGAGAAAGAAGAAAAGCTAAAGCTTTTGGAGCAAGGTAGCAAGTTAAACCTAGCTACTACCACTAACTAGCATTGTTGATTATTGTATGGTTAATTGCTATTATTGTGGTTGAGCTCTCTTGATTGTTATGTGGCTGCTCTTTATAGTATCTTGCTTTGGCCTTTGCATGATTGAGTTTGCCAATTGATAAGCATGTTAGTTCACCAATAGTAGCTAATGTGATCATGCATAATAATGATGCTTGCTTGGTGATATAGTTGGTTAATTTGCTATTGGGATTTCAATGAAATCTCATTCCATAAATGCAATCTAACATTTTAGGGCCTGAATCCTCCAAGGGAAAGCTGTAGATTGAAGGCTAATTTATGGGGTTTAGCCACAAAATTTCGTGAACTCATTTTGGTTATGTACATATTAAACTAACAATGCTGTAAGCACACTGACCCTGACTGGTTCATGCAACTTTTTGATTATTCTCCTGAATGTGTTTAATCATGAAATTTGTCATGATGAAAGATAACGTCCTGAGCTTCAATTTGATAGCTAATATGTTAAAAATGGCCCAGTATACGATTTATAATGATTTTTCAAAGTTAATGGTCAGAATCTGGGAATCTGGGTTTTTGGCAAATGAACAGTGTTGCATTTCTCAAAAACCTGACTCTTTCTCATAAGGAATTGGACAATGAGATTATTTTTCCTTGAAAGAGGACTTAAAGATCTTTAAGTATAATTTTGAACCACCCCAATTAGATTTTTGTAGAATAAGTTATGAATTTTTGAAGTTGGGCCAGAAAAACTGGATTTTTACCTGATGAACAGTAAAAATCCGAATTTAGCGTTTTTATAGTAAAAAGTGAGTCCAAGACCATCCAATGTGGTCTAAAATGATTTTGAAAGGAACCTAAGTTAATATAATAGTAAGGTGTGACAGATGGTAGTAAGAAACTTGACTCTAAAACTTCTTCTAATGATAAAACCTCTTCTCTTCAATGTTTTAGATGTTATGGAAAGGGGCATATTGCTTCTAAATGTCCCAATAAGAGAGCCATCATTATCAAAGACAATGGTGAGTATGACAATGAACATTCTAGCGATAAAAGTGATGATGACATGCCCTCTTTGGTGACTGACTCTGAATTTGAGATTGATGAAGCGGAACATGTTACTGGAGAAGCATTAGCGGCTAGAAGAGGCCTAAATATTCATGTAAAGGAAGATGATGAGAAAGAGCAGCGTGAGCTTATCTTCCATACTAGGTGTTTCATAAAGAATAAGGTATGCAGCATGGTTATTGATAGTGGTAGTGTTACCAATGTTGCTAGTACCTTGCTTGTTGAAAAGCTGGACTTGCCTACTAAGAAGCATTCTAAACCTTATAAATTGCAATAGTTGAATGATAGTGCTGAGGCTAAAGTCACTAAGCAGGTTTTGGTTTCTTTTTCTATGGAAACTATCATACTGAAGTTCTATGTGATGTGGTTCCAATGCTTGTTGAACATCTCTTACTCGGAAGGCTATGGCAATTTGATAGCAAAGCTCACCATGATTTTGTTATGCTATACCATTCAATGGAAAAATTATTGTATTGAAGCCTCTTAGGCCAAAAGAAGCTTATGAGGACCAAGTGAGGATTAAGCAGGATTGCAAAAGAATGAATGAGTTGAAGGAAAAGGAGAGAGTGGAAAAGAAAGAAAAAGAAAGAACAGAAAAGTGAAAAAAAGATAGAGTTTAATTTCTAGAAAAAGTGAGGTTAATAAAGCATTGTTGAGTGAGCAAGTCTTGGTGATTATATGTAAGGATGCTTATTTTTCCACTAACAATCCTAACCCCTCTTTGCCTTCCAGTGTTGTGTCTTTCTTGTAAGAATTTGGTGATTTATTCCCAGATGAGATACCTGATGGGCTTCCTCCCTTAAGAAGAATTGAGCATAGGAGTGATTTTATTCTGGAGCTTCTCTTCCTAATAGACCTACTTATAGAGCCAATCCTGAGGAAACTAAAGAAATTCAACGCCAAGTAGATGAGCTTATGAGGAAAAGCTTTGTGAGAGAAAGCTTGAGCCCATGTGCTGGTCCAGTACTCTTAGTACCTAAGAAAGATGGTTTGTGGCGAATGTTCGTTGATTGTAGAGCCATAAACAAAATAATAGTTAAGTATCGCTACCCCTTCCTAGATTAGATGACATGGTGGATGAGTTGCATGGTGCTACTTTATTCTCTAAAATTGATCTTAGGAGTGGTTATCATCAAATTCGCATGAAAGAGGGAGATGAATGGAAAACATCATTTAAAACTAAATTTGGATTTTATGAATGGTTAGTTATGCCTTTTGGGTTAATTAATACACCTAGTACTTTCATGAGCTTGATGAATTATGTTTTTCATTCATTTATTGGGAAGTTTATGGCTGTCTACTTTGATGATATTCTTGTCTATAGTAGAACAATAGATGACCATGTTATTCACTTGCATGAGGTGTTTCAAACTCTTAGGGAGAATAACTTATATGTTAATTTTCAAAAATGCTCCTTTTGCATGGATTCTGTTGTGTTTCTTGGTTTTGTTGTAAGTGCTCAAGGGATCTGTGTGGATGAGGAAAAGGCGAAAGCTATAAGAGATTGGCCAACCCCAAAGAATGGCAATGAAGTCAAGAGCTTCCATGGATTAGCAAGTTTCTATAGGAGGTTTGTCAAAGATTTTTCAACTATTGTTGTGCCTCTAAATGAGCTTGTTAAGAAGCATGTGACATTTAAATGGGATGAAACACAAAAATAGCTTTTAATACCTTGAAAGAGAAATTAATCAATGCACCACTTTTGTGTTTACCTGATTTTAATAAAGTTGTTGAAGTTGAATGTGATGCTTCTGGAATTGGTATTGGTGCTGTTCTAATGCAAAAGTTTAGGCCTATTGCTTACTTCAGTGAGAAATTAAGTGGAGCTTCTTTGAATTACTCTACTTATGATAAGGAACTCTATGCTTTAAAACAAACTTTAGAAACATGGCAGCATTATTTATGGCCTAAGGAGTTCATTATTCACTCTGATCATGAAAGTTTGAAGTTTCTAAAGTCTCAAGGTAAGCTTAACAAGAGGCATGCTTGCTGGTTGGAGTTTATAGAGACGTTTCCATATGTGATCAAGCATAAGCAAGGTAAAGAGAATATTGTTGCTGATGCTCTTGCTCAGAGGTATTCTCTTATCACTTCTTTTCATGCTAGATTACTTGGATTTGAATTATTAAAAAGGCTATATGACTCTGTTTGTGATTTTTTCAAAATTTGGCTTTCTTGTGAAAAGCATGGGGTGAATGACTTTTATAGATCTGATGGGCTTCTTTTTAAGAAAAATAAATTGTGCATTCCTAATTGCTCTATGTGTGCTCTGCTTGTAAAAGAAACTCATAGTGGTGGTTAGATGGGTCACTTTGGTGTTGATAAAACTTTAGCTCTTTTGCATGAACACTTTTATTGGCCTCATATGAGGAAAGATGTCATTCCTATTTGTACCAAATGTGTCACATGTAAGCATGCAAAGTCTAAGGTTCAACTTTATGGCTTGTATTCCCTTTACCTGTGCCTTTCCAACCCTAAGTAGATATTTCTATGGATTTTGTGTTAGCTTTGCCTAGGTCTACGTCTGGAAAGGATAGCATCTTTGTTATGGTTGATAGATTTAGTAAAATGGCTCATTTTATTGCATGTTCTAAAACAAATGATGTAGTCCATATTGCTGACTTGTTTTTCAAGGAAATTGTTAGGTTGCATGGATTGCCCAAAACCATTGTGAGTGACAGGGATGTGAAGTTCCTTAGCCATTTTTGGAGGACTTTATGGAGTAAGCTAGGAACTAAGTTGTTGTTTTCTACTGTGGCACATCCCCAAACTGACGTAGTCAACAAAACACTTACTACCTTGTTGTGTGCGATAATCCAAAAGAACTTGAAGAATTGGGTCAATTGTCTGCCTCATATTGAGTTTGCATATAACAGAGCTATTCATTCTTCTACTTCCTTCTCTCCATTTGAGGTTGTTTATGGCTTTAATCCTTTGCCTCCTTTAGATATATTGCCATTGCCTTCTAATGAGCAAGCAAATCTTGACGGCAAGAAAAAGGCTGAGTTTGTACAGGGATTACATGCTAAGGTGAGAGCCAACGTAGAGAGAAAGAATGAGCAATATGCTAGGCAAGCTAACAAAGGTCATCGAAGGATTGTCTTTGAGCCTGGAGATTGGGTTTGGGTACACCTTCAAAAGGAGAAATTTCCTGAACAATGCAAATCTAAGTTACATCTAAGAGGAGATGGCCCTTTCCAAGTCTTAGAGCGGATCAATGACAACGCTTATAAAATAGATTTTCCTAGTTCCTATGGTAATGTTAGTGCTACTTTTAATGTTGCTAATTCATCTCTCTTTGATATTGCAGATTTGAGGACGAATCCTTTCGAGCACGGAGGGAATGATGGAGGAGCATGGAGCGATCAAGGGCACGGGTAAGGAGCCCAAACAAAGAAGTCCAACATTCCGAAATATCTATTACAAGACATCAGAGGCCCAATGACAAGAGCAAGGACCAAAGCTATGAAGGAGGCCCTAAATTGTCTAATAAGAGAGCTAAAAGAGTTAGAGCCCATTTATTTGGAAGAAGCACATTTTAATGAGCCTAAAATAAGTCCAAAAATAGTGATCATATTGCTAGAAGCCCAATAAGATTATGTACAAGGCCTATATGGGGTTTAGATTGAAGAATTCACTTAAAATATCATGTGACAAGCATGTGCCTTAGACAAGGATCATAAGTGGCGTCCAAGAATCTTCAAGAAGGCACTATTATGAATTGATTCTAATTTAAATTTTTTTTTGGTCAATGAGTGTTCTAGAAGATCATGTTTTGATCTACTTTCCTATTTTTAAATAGCAAATTTGTTATTGAGGTTTAAGTTATTTCCTTTTATTTCTATGTAATAAATAGTACCTCCCATAGTCAAATAATCATTAATGAGGCATCATCCCTAGCATTTATGTCTTAGGATGCTAATTCTAGAGTGTTCTATTGTTGCCTATATATAGGCTATGTTTTTTGTAATTGAATTCAGATTTAGATGTATGAAAATTGAGTTTATTTCTCTTTATGTAAGCTTTGCTTGCATCCTTGTATTCTCATGAGAATACTCAACAATATCAAGGAATTGATCAACCTTGTGGTGTCTTCATGGCTAGGGTTGTAAGAGACAGGTTCTCTTAAGGTCTTATCTAGATCAACCGTCTGTTTGTTACTTGATTCTAGCCGGTCCGTACCCCCCGCATATCAATCAGTGCACAATAGGGGCAAAATTGTCATAATTGTGATTAATTGATCTTTAAAGAAAATTGATGCTACCTTATTTGCAATTTTTAATTGTAAGTTTTTGGAAAAATTAAAAAAAAGAAAAGAAAAAAAAGAAAGAAATATTTAAAAAATTAAAAAAAAAAAAAAGGGATCACAAGTAGTAAAACTGTGTGTTTTACTAACTGCCCTAAATGGAGATTCATCATCATCTTCATTTGGAGTGGAGGCGGACACGAGAGGGAGAGTGAGGACCAAAGGAGTCGACAGCGAGAGGTCCAAAGTGTGTGACAGGAGCCTTTAATCGTTCTTTATTCTCCATACTCCTCACTCTAGGCCAATTCCATCATCTCCCATGAATCTAAATATTCGAATCCACCACCATCACCATTTCTTCCATCATCATCAAAATCCATCACCGACAATTGAAAGTAGAGAATTATTGATGTTAATGAATGAGATTAAGGATTAAGGTATAATTCTCCTATTATATAAAATATGTTTATGGATGCCAATGATGCAATGTAATTGATTAGAATGTCTATAGTATGAATGGAAATGTATGAAAATGTATGGGAAAAAGTAAGCTCAAGTTATGCATGTCAGAGCAATAAAAAGAGTTAAAGCAAGTAAAGGTAAAGAGAAAAACGTAGGTGCTGGAGCAGTCAGCTTCCAACTCCAATTTGACCTATCAAATGAATGAATTAAGCCATAAAATTTGGAGGTTTATAGCATATATCCCAAGATTTAAATCAAGAGGTAGATCACCTCAATTGGATGTGTACACAAGGAGATACGAATTTCCAAACTTGAGGCAAGAAATTTGGAAGTTTCATAACTTACCAAAAAATAGTAAAGTTTAATGAATAAACTGTATAAATTGGTAAGAGATAAATCCAGTTTGATATTTTTTCCTTAAAGAGCATTGAAAGAGCTTCGAGTAGAAATTTGGAGCACCTCCATATGATTTTTGTAGAATTAGTTATAATTTTTCAAAACTGACCTATAATCTGACAATTGCACAGTGAACAGTAACCTGAGGACTTGAAGGAAATTTTTAATTTTTGTGTTCAAGTTATTATTTGAGTGTTCCATTTCGCTTTCAAACGCATACTTTGAGAGGTAAAAGTAAGGATGTTTAAATTTCACATTTTATGTATTAGGAAGAAAACATCTTTTTAATACTAAATCCAGACTTGTCATTTCACAAGTCGAACTTGTTATTCTCAAATAAATTTTTGTCACCAGTTAGAGCCAAAGCAAAGGAATTAATTTATGTTTTATTTTGCAGTATAATGTTAATTAATAAAACTTGTTGGCTCAATGCTCGCCCTTAATTTCAGGAACCAGCAAGGTGATACCCCGACCTCACTTTCCTCCCTCTTTTAAAAACATTCCTCTTGAAAAAAAAAAACCACTGGTAGCCACCTCGCCATTGGTCAGCCACTGATGAGGGGCTACAAACTTTTTTGGTAAAAAAAAATCAAAGGGGAATTTTTGTAATTTTTTTTGAATTTTAAAATTTCAATTTGACATTATTTCTTTTTTTGTCATTTTGAAGTGTTAGGTGCCTGAATTGGAATATCATAATTTCAATTTTTTTTTTCTAGAATTTTTCCTTGTTTTTAGTATTTACAAATTTTTTCTAATATTGTATAAATTCTTCTTTGAGAAAATGACAAAAAAAAAGAAGGCTCAAATTGTGATTTCCTAATTTAGGAAGCTAACAGTTGGAAATGACAGAAAGAGAAGTAAACTCAAATTAGAATTTTGAAAGTCAATGAAAATAACAAAAAAAGTCCCCTTTTTTAATTTTAAAAAAAAAGATTCAACCCCTTGTTGACGACTGGTGGTCGGCAGGAGCTTCTTTTCTAGCCAATTTTTTTTAGCTATAGGAAATTATTTGAGGAAACTAGTGAGGTGGGATTTGATCCCACCATCCCATGGTCATTTAGGCCAATAAAAGAATAGAATTCTTAACATTATAATACAAATATATATATATATATATACATATATAAGTTAACTCCCTTATTTTGCTCTAGTTTATAACAATAATGTATTCAAGAATGATAAGTCTTGATTGGAAAATGACAAGTCTATATTTAAGATTAACAAGGCTTTTTTTTACAAGTAACATGAAATTACATGAGAATTAATTGAAAATGATAATAATTTATTTGGGAATGACAAGTTTTGATTGAGAAATGACACATCTAAGCTTGAGATAAACAAAGTGTTTTTTTCCTGATACATAACAAGAAATAATGTCATGTCCTATTAATTTTAACCCTAAAAATAAGGACTATAAACTATACTAAGGGCCAAGCAGTGTAGTAAATAGATAGACAGAATAACTTTTGAATTGAAACTTGATTGGGGATCATATTATCATTTTCAAAAAATCTGATCAAGATAGAACAGAGTGAGAAAGTGTACCATAAATTTGAAAAAATTCCCAAACAAATCATAAAAAATTAGAATAAAGGGTCTAGAATAGTATTTGATGCCTAAAAGATGAAAATAATATGAAAATAATTTATTTTATAATTTTCTGTAATTTCATGTTATTTTGGTTAATTAAGAAAAAATTGGCCAAATTGAATTATTTAAAATATTTAGAGATTTCAATAATTTATAGAAAAATTAGAAAAATTATTTGAGAGGTTATTATGAATTTTAAAATTATTCTTAGTCTCTGGTAATGTAGAGGTTAGTTTTAAAATATTTAAAGTCAAATTACATTGTGAAAGGCTGATTTTGGGAAAAATTTAAGTAAGGGAGTTATAGGGAAAAATAAAATCTAAGAAAATTAGTGGAACCTCTTCTCATTGAAAGAAAGCTATTGGAATAGGTAAATAAATTTTTAAAGACAGTGGATTTAGCAGGATTTGAGAAAAATTCAACCAATATTGTGAAATTATATTGTGTAATAACCATAATTTTGATGGGAAAAAATTTTCTCCCATTTTTCTGGTTAATATGGCACCAAATGAGGAGCGAGATAACCTAAATGGAATAATACAATTTGTTGAAGAATAGACTTGGAAGAATAGAATCATGAATAAAAAAGTAGAGATTTATCCCACATGTATGCCTAGGTGTCTCATGAGGTGGCATCTTCATTTAATAGGACACCTAAGAGGGTTTATGTGGTGAAATCAAGGGAGAGGAGGGTGCAAGATGAAGCCAAGAATCTAGGGAAAAATTGGATAGTAAATTAGGTTACCATATGGTAAAGACTTGAGGCGAGTTTATATATACCTCTTCATCTCTTCCTTAGTCCTTTTTTTCTCCCTAACCCTAGAGCCAAGAGAGGCGGAGTATTTCGGTCTAAAGAGGAGGAAGGAGGAGAATGAGAAGAACAAGACATACCAAGGTAATTTCAAGTCCTAAATCAAGATAAAAGCTTGCAATTCCTTCTTAGTCTATGATACTCTATAGATTGATGGTTTTAAACATGATTTTGATGGAGTTTGATGGTTGGAAATCTTGAGTATGGTTGTTGTTTGAATTAGCTTTTGATCAGACATGATTGATTCTGAGTTTATATATGGATTAGGGGATAGAAAATGGTTGATTAATAGTAGTTAAACCTTGTTATTGCAAAGATTTCAACTTGTATAACTTTGGGTTGCTGTTTCATTGGAGTTGTTTTACCATGCTAGGGTTTGATTTATATTTTTTTTGATGTTTCCAATAAGTTTAGATGGTGAATTTGTGTAGGGGTATGTGGAAAACATGTGTTTCGAAACATTGAAATTGAAAATAAATTTTTTAGAACCCTAAGGGTACCTCTCATCCAAGAAGAAAAGTAAGGGAGGGAGTTGGATTTTGAATCTAAGTTCATATATGGATTCTACAAGAAAAATCATGTAGAAAAAGTATATGAGAATTATGTTAAAAAAGATAATACTAAAACCCTAAAATAAAGGTTAAAAGATTAGGATTCCAGAGTTAAGTGTTTGATGAAATTATGTAATTGATTTGGAATGCCATTGTGGTTCTTGTTTGATAGGCATTATTATTGATCAAGAGAGGGCTCAAAAACAAGGACTAGAAATGGAAGATCAAATGTATCAAGAGATAGCATAAAACTTACAATTTAATGTTAACTTGCATGGTTGTTGCTATATGTTATTCCTTAACTATATGTCATGATGTGGTAGAG